TTCTAGACAATGTAGTTGTGGTGTGACCAACATATATATATATATATATATATATATATATATATATATATATATATATATATATATATATATAATTTTTTCTGTTGGGGATACAATCTCCCAAGGACATTGAAATTTATATATAATGTTGGTTTTCTGCAACACGTTAATTGGTGAGTGTCATTACAAATGATTAAATTGATATATTGAATTTAGTATAGTATATATTTAATTTTGTTTTTTACTAGGATATCCCTAGGATTTTCCTTAAAACTTTCTTGTTGCTCACACGCTTCGTCTATTCCATTCTCATTCTGTTGCCATATGCCTTCGCTTCATCTACGAGAAAAGTCTCCAATATTCACTGCCATAGAAGAGGATTAATATTACATAAAAGTTTAGCGTCAATTTCATTGTTCTAACGAACATTTTCTGTTTTATACATTTTGTAGCTTTTGTAAGATATCATTAGCTATTCCAACACGCCTTGGATTTCTGTGTCACATTTTATGTCTTCTGTTAAAACATTCGCCAGATAGTTACATTTCTTTAGTTGCTTGATTTTGACGTCCTCGATTCGTTGTAACATGACAGTAGGCAGTGGCAAAAAGTTGTTTTAAACATTTCATCTTGACTGTGACCTCTACCAAATTAATAAATGCCCTTAAGTGATGTTCAAATCTTTACTTTTTTCATGATAAGAAATGTTAGATAGTCACCAATCGAGTAGCAAGGAAAACATTTGAACGCTGTTTGCCTTTAACCTCGTTTTAAACATTATAATGTACTCTCGGTTGCTGATTGGACTATTTCATTAATGGCGAAAATTTATTGAAATGAGAGACATTTCTCAATGACAAATTAACCTCAAACAAATATATATTAGTTTTAATTAATATTACGACAGAACTAGTTGACAACTGTTAAGAGGTTTAATTGAATCTCATTCAAAGGCTTCGGTAATTGTTGGATTCAAATTCTTTTCAGTATTAAAATGAATTCACAAAAGGAAGATTGTTTTCATATTTGTTCTATTCAAGTAGAAAAGCATCTAAATCTCTTTTGATTTAAGAAACTGACATGAAAGAGTGAAATCGAAACGATTTGGGTGAATCCGAAAAGAAAACATCTCCATTTATTGATTTCATTCCAGTTTTTCCTACCCACCATTTTTGGTGGGAGAGGTGACAAGTAGACATTAAAATCTCTTTCTCCTGATCCGTGCCAGGAAACAGAATGACAAAAGAAAATTTATCACTGAAACAAATGACGGCAATTTGAAAACAACAAAATTCTCGGTTTTGCGAGACACTTTTGTTGAAATAATTGTATGTATTTATATAATGCATGGAAATGATTGGATGGCAGTGTCGTAATTGAACTTGTTTTGATCGAATCTGAAGTCTTATCAACGTCACTGAGCTGTTATTTTTCGATTTGTTGATATTATTTTACATCTTCCTTAATAAGGAAGTATCTGTTAATGGCGTCACCGGGCTTGTTTTAATACCCCAAGGCGTATGATGACCCATTCTTTTCGAATATAAAAGTAGGCGTCTCTCTATGAATTGAAATATCAACGCTGAAACTATCAAATGGTTAATGCTTGCAACTAAAACATTTCATAATTCCAAGTGGAATTTAAAGATGTAAGGCAAAATATTTTTCTAATGAAGAATTTCAAAATTTGTTGCAGATTTCTTTTAGGCAATTTCGAAAGAAATAGAAATATTTTTTATTAGAAAAATAAACGAAATGGAGAAAATAAACGTTTGCTTTGCATTGTGATAGATAAATGCTTCACAAATTGTCTTACGTGCCGCCCGCTTGGCTCTCTGGCTACACCCACTACAACTCTCATCAATGACTGTATCGCTACATCTACAAACCTAGAACATTGATCCTTGCAAACATTGGCTGTCTGCTCTAACTGGCGTGAGGTACTTCCTGTTCAGATAGCGTCTTCTTCTTTTTGCCATGTCCCTTCAGTACGTTGGCTATCATGGCTCTCCACAATTTCCTGTCATTTGTAAGTCTTAATAAATTTTGTCTTTTTGTTAACCTCCCTAAACCCTGTTCTGCCATCCATTTACTTACATTCAATCTGTCCTGTAAGTGTCAAATTTTCCAAACCCTCTTTTCTCATTATGTGCCCTAGAAATTTCAACGGTCTCTTCCTAATGTTAAGTATAAGTACCCATTTTGGTACTATTTTCTCGTCGTTTCACGCACGTTCGGTCCATGGTATACTCAGCATCCGTCTGTAGAACCAGTTTTCTGCTGTTGTTTCAAGTTTCTTCTTAATCTGTAAGAAGATTGTCAAGCATTCACTGCCATATAGGAGGACTGATAAAACGTATCAGTTCAATACTTTTTCTTTGTTTCTAACTAGGTTTTCCTGTTTCTTAATACTTTAATTAGTTTTTAGAACGTATCTTTCGCTATCCCAAAGCACGTTCGGATTTCAGTGTCGTGCTTTCCCTCCTCTGTTAAAACACTTCCCAAAGCTTTGATAAAATGCTTGTCTTTTTTGTTTTCATAACGTCGTTAATGATCACCGCCACACTATTTTTGCGTCTTGTAACAGTCACAGATTCGTCAATAGCGTTTTCATTTTAAGAAACGTAAAATTCGACTCAAGTTCATGAAGCAGGTGCTGCGTAGGTTCAAATGAGTCACAAGTGGTTTGCAAAGTTTCGAACTGAAAATTAATCTTTCAAAGATACTCAGCAACTGAGATTGATAGCGATCAAATCAAGATATTACCTGAGAATAATCAATGTCTTACGACGTGAAAGATAAACCATCCAATTCAAAATATCCAAATCAAATGTTGAAAATCATTTGCACAATCTTGGTTATATGTTACTCGCTTTGATGTGTGATTTCCATTTGTAATCGAAAAACACACTGGGCCGCATTTCCGTAAAGGTAACGAAAATGCTTTTGAAAGTAATTCAATGAGGCGATGAAAAGTCGATATTCTACAACAACGCTGAATGCAAGAAATCGTAGAGTAAATAAAATGAATAATTACTAACCATACCAGACTCTTGTGTTCATGTAAAGAAAGTACTACGTTGTATATAGGTGATTGGAATGGTGTTCAATTGATTGATTTCAAATACTGCTTTCTCTAATAACAACTAAAAGCAGCAATCGATGTAAAGTGCATAATATTCCATCAGGATAATGATAATCTGTTTGGTCACCAAGACCAAGCAAAAAATTTTACAGCTTAGCTGTAAAAGTTTTCACTTTTCTACTATATTCACCCGAAAATTACACCTTCAGATTACAATTTATTCTACTTTTTACATAATTCTCTTAATGGAAATAAGCCAATTACCTGAAGAGGCATTCGGGGCGGTTCTTTGCCGAGAAAGATAAAACGTTGGGATAGAATAGAATTATGAAATTGATGGACAAATGTTACGTAGTGATGCAAATCGATATCTAGTTCAAGAAATTTAATGTCGAAATTTAAAAAAAAAAAGATTGTCTTTCGTTTTTACTTAATAAATCGAATTACCTTTTTACATTACCCAATATTTAATATTTTCCAGAAATTTTGATATTGTCTCAATTTGAGGTTGGAAATAAAAAGTTTATATTTTTGTTTCACGTTGTCAGTACTTCTGGTATTCCACTGTGCACAATGAAAGTTTTGTTTTGAAATGGCGAAAATGATATGCTATATTTTTTTCACATTTTTATTTCTATATAAACACATGAGTATAATTAAAGTCGTGATAGTTGAAGGATTTATAATTTTGTGGCTTTTTACCCAGAAAAGGTTTTACACGAAAAAGATGGTCATTTTTCTGACCAACAAACCGTTCTTTGTTTCGATAACCGTAGTTTAGCTTCTTTCTGTCTCACGTAAGACATATTTCTTGAATGTTTTCCTCCTTTGCCATTGACAGACTGTGCTCGATTTAATAACAATTGATTGTTGTTAGTCGATAGCATGTCAATGACAAATCATCGTAACAAAGCATATCGACGCTAATGCTGAACGAATGATTGAACTGCTGCATCCTGATTAAGAATATGTTAAGCCGACATTTACACAGTTTGTATTGATGGCGACTATGGAGATCAAATGAGATGGAAAAAGAAAAACGTAATCATATTAATTAATTCAAGAGAATGCATCCAACATTCACTGGTTAGTGGCATGGCAACCATTTTTCACACCATGTATCAAACTCAACAGGTTTCGCCGGACAATTGGCCATATATAAAGGCGACTGGACAGCGAAGATTTCAAAAGAAAGAAAGAAAAGTTTCTTTAATAGAAAGGATAGTCTTTTATCAATTATTAATGGGAAAGTACTGAATTACTCGAATCCTAGTCAAAGAATTGTTGTTCGTTTCTCCACTATTTCTTATATTCCAGGCATATAAATCCACCCACATCCGGCTGCACAGAGAAACATAAACACTTTATTATTTTGTTAAATTGTTTTTTTTTCTAATACGCAATGACTACGAGTTGAGCAGATGCACTGCACATTCTGCACATGGTTCTGGGTAAACAGATTCTGACGTTTGAAATTTCGAGATGAATTAGTCATCAAACGACGTAATATTCGGATTGGCAACCTCACTTTTACTGTTTTGATCTTAGGATGTTGTCCTCTTTGGCCTTTTCCTCAAATTGCATCGAATAATTCTTAAACATCGTCATGGAATTTTTGTGTTTACACGATGCTTCGACATCTTAGTGTGTAAATTGTTCCTGGTCAGGAATTGTTACTATCTTTCTGGCAAGAGCAAAATCTTGCCGTCTCAAAATTCTGCTACTGTAAAAAAAAATTTAACGAATTCCATTATTTATAATCGAATTACAACTAAACCTTTTCAAATGTTACGAATTTAGACAGAGTGAAACATAAGATTGAGGCTCAATTTATTTTTATGGGTACGTTTCGATCACGGCAAACAATGAGGCAACATCTATTATATCTCAGGTTTATTCCACACATCAAGTAGGCTTACGGCCATATCACGTTAAAACACTGGTTCCCGTAGGATCACGAAGCTAAGCAACATCGAACGTGGTCAGTACCTAGGTGGGTGACCGATTGGGAATACCAGACTCTGTAAGGTTGTATGTGCGGGTGGTGTAATGTATAAAGGCTCGAAATTGGAAATTCCAATTCCAATCAGGTTCGTTATATTCACTTACGCGTAAATACCCTTGGGGGAAAAGGTATGAATCCACTTCTTCTCACCCCAGCTATGGGTTAATTAGTAAGACATATATCAGTAAAAAAAAAAAATCTCCAAAAAATTCTTACAATCTAAAAATATTTTTGGCTTTAAATAACCTGCAAAAGGTTGATAAGCCGTAAAAACAGTTCTTCCCAATGCTGCACATTCATGTGCAATGCATTCAGATTATCCTTATCATGTCTTCAGTTCCCCATAGAAAAGTTGTTTGGTAATCCTGTTATCCCTTATTCACACAACGTATCCTGCCCATCGCATCTTGTTGAGGATTATTATTATTTCAATGCTGTCGCATTCAAATCTTTGGTAGACAACAGTGTTTGGAATCAAAGACTTCCATTCGTAGTTAACAATGCGCTTCGTGCATTTTTGGTGGAATCGCTCAAGCCATTTTTATGAGACAATATAAATCTACTTCCCAGATGGTTTCCCAATCTCAACTTTCAAATTTCTACTTTTCCAAGTCAACATACACAACCACAAATATGTTGAAAAATCAAAAGAAAACGACTAAATCCATCACCTCCTGCTTTTGAAGATGTACAGCACGTAAGTCCATCTCATGCCATAACAATCTAATCAAAATCTAAACAATATTTGTAAAAAAAACTCTTGAATATTACTCGCTCACTTTACTTTTTGCCAAATTTTGAATTATGACACTTTGTATCGTCAACATGCTTTGACTGACTTTTCAATCATCTGATGAACATTCATGAACGTTCTCAAGTTTACAAGCCATGATAAACCAATGACATCCTTGCCTTTATATATAAACACGTGCTGCAAAATAAATCCTACATTGACTTGATAAAGTCCCTCAGAAGACGAAACCCGTCGACTAAGAATAGTTTTTCCTCTTGTGTATCCTTTTATTGATTATGTCTCCTTTACAGATACACTCTAAAATAAAATGAGAAATATGTAGGCGAACTATACAAAAGAGAATTTTTAACTAATCGCTGTTGGTTTCAATAGATTCAAAAACATTCCCGTTAGTGTCATCTAAAACAGGTAACTGGAAGACTTTCAGACAAGTCGTAGTCAGTCAACTAAAAAATGTGACCTTGTCTACACAAATCTACGTCAGATATCTCTTTTATATGAGAAATGAGCGTAGCTGTTCCAGATATATATATAAAAAAACAACTTAACGACAACTGAAATATCACAGCTGTTCTCAATACGCTATGGCTGATGCTTCTTTTTCAATTGTAATGACGTTTGCTGATGTGCTTGAACTTTCTATATATCAGGCATACGTCCATTTCTACAGACATAAGACTGTTACCGATGAAAAGATATGTAGTCCTCTTGCGATCACGAGAAATAAAAAAAAATTGTGTAGGCATCTCACGATCACGAGAAATAAAATAAAAACAAACCCTAATTTCTCATGATTCCAAGGAAGCCTTCCTACTAGCGGGGAATTTAGAATCTTTCTCCTTTTCAACAACCTCTCTCTATAAGAGCACGTGGATTTAGGGAGTTCCAGAAATGAAGACCAAAGATAAATTCTACTCAAATTCTCACTTCCTCATATTGAATATGGCCTTTTAATGATAGACTTATCACTTGCAAAATAATTCATTCATTAAGACAAACAGAAATATCAGAAACATTTAACAACCACGTTACAAGAACTTTCATATATCTACCAAAGAACCAAATCCTTCTGATAATAAATCCTTCTATATATGCATAGATATCTCACTTTGTTGTTATGATGTATATTTGTATATTTTACTAACCAAAAACAGGAGTCAAACAAGGCCTGTCACAACAGATACCTGAGCAGAAATCAAATTATACACCCCTTTATAAGCAAAAGTTTTTAATTTTACCAAAATTACCGTAAGTTTATTGACCACATTAATTGTGACTATCATTAATTACCAACGTAGCTATATATAACAATCAAAGTCAATTGAATTGTCTTATTTCAAAACTGGCGCCACTGTAAGAGATTAAACCAGTGAAGAAATCTGTTCCAGTTAATGGTAGTGCTATTGTCTGCAGACATGTTGTCATTGTTTGGTGGTGTAGACACAAATTATCTTTCTACTTTGTAATCTTTTTCTAGCGTTTAATGAAAACGCTGGAGCATTGAAATGGTAATTGTATTTCAAGTGTTTGCATTAATGATATCAGAGTCAATGATTTATGTCAATGTGGAACAGAGATTTCAAAATTGGTTATAAAATCATCATCATCATCATCATCATCGATTCTTCCTTTTTCATCTCATCCTCACTTCTACCTCCACCAGATTTTCTATCTTTACTATATCATTATTTTGATTAATATCAGTCTTACTACAATTTACTGTTTTAGTTTTCTTCTGTTTCTGCTACTAATGATCCTACTCAGTATTACTAGAGGATAGGTATTATCAGTTATGGATGGGTTGCTTTTATCTTACGACAACGCCCGTCCCCACCACATATAAAATATATTGGTAATTGATTTGAGTGTATAGGCCTTGTGTACTGATTGAAGGAAATATACGAAGTGCTGAAAAGTACAAAATAAATCTTTATGTAACGCAGTATAATAAACGGAAGGGTCAAGTGAAAGTTGACGTTTTAAGAGATTCAAGTGTAAGTACTGGTGTATAAGAGAGAGATAAATAGACAGATAGACAGATAGAGAGGAAGAGAGAGAGTTCGTGAGGAAGTAACTATATGTATATATGTATCCAAATGTAGTAGCCGCCTCTTGGCTACGTGTTGAAAGAAGTTATGTTGTTTGTTTTCAATGTAGCAAGGACGGGTTAGCCGTCTAGGGTCGCCAGATAGTCGTGCAAATCTATTTTGTCTCTGGTTATGTTACAATGGCCGCAACATCGGAGAATGGGCAAAGTTAATTTATCCATTCTGATTTTGGATTATTTTCCATCTTTTATATTTACATACGTCTATAGCTTTAAAAAGCCACGAGCCAATGAAAAGCGAGAGGCCTTATAGACTGGTCGTGAAAGTTTGGTACTTGGTTAGTCGAACTATTTTTATAGATAGTAAAATTTTGGTCTCCTTATTATTTATTTATTTTCTTACATCCTGGTTGTGAAAGCGTTCTGATTTCTGATCAAACTATGGTTTTGTTTGTCTGGCGATTTGTATTATCCGTCTATTTTTAGAGATGGTGAAAATTTGATCTTCTTGATTTATGTATTTATTTCTCTATCACTAAAATACTACAAGTACTACTATTTGCTGTACTCTTTTATCTTCTTCATATACAATTTTTACTACTGGTATATATTAAACATAACAATGAACTCGCTATGCAGATTAATCGAGTTCAAAATTGTTTATGCGGTCATGTTAGAGAAGGCGTATTGTTCAATCTTTAGTCTTTTCCCATAGACGCAACGTTGCAAGCCTATAGCCATACTATCGCTATTTCTATGGCAAATATTCGGATGATCTCCATTCTTTAGTTCCACCAGTTTGCAGCTAGCACTCTCCATGCTACACCACGGAGACGAATCACCCACATTTCTTCCGTGTTGAAGAAGAACACGTTAAAATAGTTCCACTCAGTTTTTTCCCCAGCACTGTCATTTGGTGTTTCTTCACTAAATATGACAATCTTAAAATTCTTCAAGTCAAGAGGTCAATTCTTATTTATCCTCCCTATCCTCATAATCTTCACTTCCTACCCCCCTTTCATTCATATCTCTCATTCCTCATTACTATTTTAACAGTAACCCTCTACTTTGAGTGATTCTAGAGCGTTCTATTGGGTGAATACTAGTATACAAAATAAACACCCTGTGAGAATCGAAGTCATTGTTTTGTAGTAATAATCAATCAGATTAGTTCGTTAATTCACGCTGAGGTACAGGAACAATATTTACTGTTGCCACCATATGGCTTAGTAGTTGAGAATGGGAGAAACAGAGCTTTGGAAGATTTTATTATCTACTGGCGTTAGGAAATACGCAGCTATCATAGCCATCAAGTTAGTCATTTGTTAACTTTATCTTTCATCTCCTCCTCCTTTGTTATATTTTACCGTATATGACGGCATATAAGGCGCCCTTTTTTTTCTAAAAATATCTTTTAAAATTCCCCTGCGTCTTATATGCTATATATAGATTTAAAATTCACTATAGCCAAATGGCAGCAAATCTTCTCACTCTTCTAGTACCCTTATCACAATTCCATGTTTTAAGTAATGATATTATCTGCATGGTTGTAAGTCTTCTATTGTTTTCTACTTCCGCCAACCTTTTTATTGGCTCTTCAGGTCTATTCCCGACTCAAAGCCTGCCACGATTGTTTCTAATATTTTTGAAGATCAAAGTTGACTGGGAAGCAAGAGGCTGGAAAAGATTTCTACAAGCGAGAAGTTGGAGACAAAAAATCTGCCAGTATAGATCTTGCCCTTACATCTATAGCCACTTCAGTTGTAAAATGATTAGACCTTGTTCCCAATCTAGAACTACGCTTAAATTAGTAAAGTTGACGTACCAATGAGGAAAGTAATATTTATTTTGAATAGTACAAAATTGTGACACAGGGCTAAAAGTGGGGGATAGGCTTGCCTTCAATCTATCTTAACTTAAACTTTGTTAGTCACGATTACTGACCCAAACATACAACGTTATTCCTTACACCAAAACAATACATTCTTACTTACCATTCATTACTACTTACATTCTTACTAGAACCATCATAATACCTCAAAGTCTCTATGTAGTTGTAACTAGTTTCCACATGTAGACTTATAGACACAATTATAATATGATAATTATCTTCATTCTTCTTCTTCTTCTTCTTCTTCTTCTTCTTCTTCTTCTTCTTCTTCTTCTTCACCACCACCACCACCACCACCACCACACCCATTTTATCTTTTGCT